AAAGAAAGAGAAAATTTAATAAAAAAGATAAAAACAAAAGAAAAAGCAAGAAAATAATAGAAGGAAAAAAGAAAAGGTGTGAGCATCTGTGAAAAGAGTCAGTTGTTATTAGTGCATTCACATTGGTGTTCGTCTTCTCATACACGTGACCCTCTTTTATTTGATGCTACAAGCAGGTTCTTGAAACGGATTTGCTCCTCGAATAATACGTAAACACTAGGAATAGGGAAATTATTGGAAGGTTGATTACATTCGACAGATTTTGAAGAGAACGCTACTGAAGCTTTTGCCAACGCTTTTTCCGCCCATCATTAGTTTACATTCATATTTAGCGTAAGAATTTCATTTTAAATCCTCTCATAGATATAATTTTGATTTTTGTTCTCACGCGTACACGTTCACGGATACAGATATAAACACATATCCATACACACATATCCAAATACATGAACGCATATGCACTGACACACATCCAAATACATCCACACGCATGTACGCACATCCACACTCATTCATAGACATAAATACATAGAGACACATATATACGTACATAAACATTTATACACACGCACACACACACTGAAAGTCGTACATACGCACAGATGAAAATATGCTCATACAAACATACACACATACACCCACACGTTTTAATGCTGCAAATATGACGCAACAAGAGATCAAGTAACTGAAGAGTGAATTCTTTCTACATAGCAAATATTTTCCGGGTTATCACCTCCAGGCCTCTCGCTTTTAATCTCCCACCTCCAGATCTGTCACCTCTAGATGTCCCATCTCTAGAACTTTCACTTCCAGACCACACATTCAGGCCTTTCAGGTCAAAACATCTCACTTCCAGACACCCACCTCCGTATTTTACACTTCCAAATTTCTCACCTCAAGATCTACAATCTCCAGATCTGTTTCCTCCAAATATCCTCGACTCGGGAAACAGCTACCCGAACCTGTTTTTAAACGGGGTCTACTGGGCATTTTTGGCTGAGCCTACGGGCTCGGATATCCCACATTAAATTCAGCCTTGTGCCACATCTGACCGCGTGGGGCGGTTGGTAGATATCCCGCAGTTGAAGATTCATTGTGGAATTCACTTGACTCACTTCTAGCAGTTGATTACTAATACGCGCCGCTGGCGAATCTTATATGTGATGTAAGATGTGATGTCCTAAGTATTATCGTTCACTACAAACCTCCGTGTGATCATTCCCTAGGTTACAACAGTTTCCATTCAAAACTCTGTTCTAACATTGATTCTATATTATCAAAGCGTTTGATTAACTCTCATGTAATAACCATAGACGCAATGACATGTCCAACATAAAGTGAATAGGAGATGTAGGGAAGACTACCAGGAACGGACCCTAAAGCGAAAGCCAACAATGAAAGAAAAGTAGAAAGAAAAAAAAAAGAAAGAAACAGACACCTGCCTAAACCAAAGCCAACACTGGTCAATGCCGACAGAAACACGAAACTGGAAACATAACTAAGACAGAGTTCTAAGACTAATAATGGTCTGAAGATCACAGTTGAAACTCAAAGCAAGAATATAAGATCAGCGCCCCCTATACGAATTCCTCATTGATGTTACTGATGCTATATCACCCCCTCCACACACACGGGGGAGTAATGAATGGCGATTCAGACTGAGGAATCGCAGAGCCAAGTTAGAATTCGAGTTGAGTTCATTACATTCACTTATGTGCTAATTAACCTTGGAAAAGGTATGAACCCATCTCTTCTTCACCCAACCATGGGTAATAAGTATGGCAGACTGGGCCCTATAGCCTTGGGTGACACCTCCGAATTCAAAACTTGAGGAGGGTCGTTTGGGAACTTTATGGAATACTGTGAGCCAGTTCTCTACTCGGCTCTTCCAAAAGAGCGTGGTCGTTTCTGCACTAGCCTTTGCCTCTATAATGTGCGGGTCACCTGGCTGTTTCCTTCTAAGTCCTGGGTTGCTGGACACTCTCAAATCAAACAAATGGTGGGAAAGTCCTCCATATATGATAAAAACATAGTTTTAAGGTATTTTATATTTATATGTAAAAGTACTTAATAGCTGGGATAGAGCACGTTTAAATATAAGAATGGACACTGAAGTCTTCACCGAGGGGTGACAATTTGTTTCATATCTGAGCGCAATCTTCAGGTCATCTAGATAAATAGATATGTGTGTGAAAGCGATAGGTGGGGGGGGGAGTAAAGTTGGATGAAAATACGATTGAATGAGAAAAAAATGACAATTTTGAATATATTTTTTAACTTAACATGTTTCACTGATGATCTAGGAAGTAATTTTATTACACATGAACAATATATGCATTAGCAAGACAAAACTGGATTCATGCTAAGCGTGTGAAAACTTTATTTTTACTTTAACTATATTCTAATAGAAATTTGATTTTAACTAATTACAACAAGTTTTTTTTTCATGGTTTATTTATACAACAATTGTTTCAGGTCTAATTTAATAAGAAAAAATAAATAAATTGAAATAACTCGATCAAATAATACTTAAGAAATTAGTACTGGGACAATAGGGGATATTTAAACAAATTTCTATGATGATGAGTTATCACTATTTTTAGTCAGACTAATGTCTTTGATAGGTTTGATCTGTTCTACTCTATGGTCATCTTTTGGTGTTTATCGATTTTGGTAACTTTCAGAGAATTTAGAGATGAATTCTTTATTCAATCTATGGAGTAGATTGTTCTAATTCTGCACTCCTTATGTCTCGGGATATCTGGTCTTTTTAGTGTTGCTAGTCTTGTCTTCATATTACTCTGTTCAGGTCTTGAATTAACAATGACTATGCCACAAAATCATCAAAGAAAAGTGGCGGCGCCTAAGAGAGAAAATGCTTCTTAACAAGGTTACAGCAACAGCAGAGGAAGCAAGCGAAGAGCATTAGGTTTAAGGGTTCAAGTTTTAGCATCAGAATAGAGCCACCACACTTTAGAAAGTTAAGGCGTTAATTAGTGAATTTGACAGTATAGTAATTGTAAGTTCAATCTCTGGGCCGGGAAATACGGATATAATCAGACTTGCAATAACTGCGCCATACTAAAAAAAAAACAACAACAAAACAAAAAAAAAAAATATCCCTAGACTTCGACAGCTGAACGAGAACAATCATGTAATCTACGCCAATAGATATTAAAATTGTGGATTGACATTAGTCTAGAAAGTATTTTAACAGGGGACAGAAAATATGACAGTGAAATGCAAAAGGGAATTCTAATAGCGAAAGATACCTTCCAGAAGCTAAAAGTATTAAAACACAGGATATTTTTCGTTAGAAACAAAAACAAAAGATTGCTGAACTCTTAATATCGTTCATCCTATGTGACAGTGAATACTAGACAATATTCTTACAGATGAAAAAGAGACTTGGGATAACAGAAATATGGTTCTACAGAATGAAGCTGAGAATATCATGGACTGAACATGTGGCTATAGAAAAGCATTGAAAATCAGAAAGAAAACGATTGTTATTGATCAGAAACTGATACAAGCAGTACGGATAGAATAACATAATTATACGTTTAATATAAATGCATTGTTCATGATTTTATTCATTGGAAATTAAGAAGAAATAGAATAGCCAGAAATTAATGCAAGTGTTACTGACATAAAAGTATTTTGCTCCTCCTATATGACAGGGATGAAGAAAATACTTGAGAATACCATAGACTAAACATGTGGGTTACGAGGAAGTTTTAAGGAAAATGAAAAACAAAAAGGACACTTAGACTTAGAATAAAAAAGAACAATTGAAATTTATATGATGCCTAATGAAGAAGGAGGACTTGTAGAATTTGACACTCAACAGATATATTGAAGGCGTAAGGGACAAACGAAAGCAGAGAGTGACTTACATAAAGATCTTGAGTGACGGAACTGAAATTGTGAGGAATAGCGAAATTAAAAACTTTACTAAGATCTACAAAGGATGGGAATTTGCGGAGCGCCATGATCGCCTGCATCCTGAAGCGATACGTTACAGAGAAGTGGAAGATTTCAGCAGATTGAATTTCAGTTTGAAATTCTCTGATGATTTCCCATTCGGACAGAGGCTTGTAGAACACGCGACTGCACAACAGTCGAATAAAGACGAGAAAATTAGTCCGGCTGTCAATAATCAAATAAAAATTTAGTTAGAATTAGTGAAGTCAGCACCAATATTAAGGTGAACACTGGTGGTTCCTAGATGATTTGAAGTCCATCAAAGTACACTATATGTCGTTGGCGTGATTTAAATGTGCGATGCAGTTTTGATGAGAATCGTTATTAATTCTTGCACATTCCCCGGTCTTTTGGACATGAGTAGAGGTTTATCCCTTGTTTCTTGTATAGGATTGGATTTCCGGTTCTTTCCAATTTTTACTTTAACTCTATACGTCTAACTCTTCTCCGCCTAGACTTTGAAATTAATACTATTATTGCGTTTTTGGATCCTTCTAAAGTCTTTTCATTCTTTGTCATTTTTAATGGCCCCTTACGTCTTCTGAGCATTGTCACCTTGCTTTAGATGAATTGATTAAAAGCAAAAAGATATCACTGGTGTAACTAGTTTACGAAAATCATAATCTTGAATTGAATGTTGGCGATTCCATGAGACTTGTTGTCACTTTATATCTAATGTGATTCACCAGATACTGTGGGAGAAATTCGCTACATGATCATCATCATTATTAGCAGCAGTATCATTGGCATAAATGTCCCTCTGTACAAGCTGATTGGATATGACGAAAGAAAAAAAAATGTTTTCGCATGAACCTAGTTAACAGAACCTATTGCAAGTATCTCAAGTGTCTTTCAAATCTCAATGCGTCCTTAGAACGAAGGTGAAGTATTAGAGTCTCCAACAAAACAGGTTTCACTACTCTGGGAGGGAGAAAAGCACAGAATAAGTGGGGGACGTTAGGGCATTATGCACGTGCTACAGAATAATTAGGATTTCGAGTGGGTTAATACAAAAAATGGAAAGAAGAAAAAGAACGAAAAAGATAAGTGTTTTCTTTCCCCATAGGAAGATATCAACGTCTCTCTCTCTCTCTCTCTCTCTCTTTCTCTTTGTCTCTTTTTCCTCTCTTTCTCACTCTTTATGTCTTTCTCTTTCACTCTCTCTCCCTCTTTTGCTCTCTTTCCCACTTTCTTTCTCACTTTCACTTTCTCTCTCTCTTCCATTCTATTTCTCTTTGTCAAACTTTCTCTCTTCCTCTCTCTCTCTCTCTTTTTTTTTTTCCCCTTTCTATCTTTTCTTCTCTCTCTTTCTCTTCCGCTTCCTCTCTCTCTCTTTCTCTTACACTCTCTCTTTCTCTTCCTCCCTCACCCATCTATTCTTTTATCTCTC